CAAAGACTTACAGATCAATATCTGCAGCATTGGTATAGAACTATTACTGATTTACTTAAATGTTTGAATTATAGAATGTATAAGCAATGTCATGTATTTGAAAAGTATTTAGACATTCTACCATATTGTATCTCTCCATTGTGCATCTCGTGGCAGCTCAGTTTGTAAAGTGGTGAAGTGGTAACGAAATTACACCTAATCTGTTGGTTGTGAGTTCAAGCCAAATTTCTTAAGACAGAATACCTCAGTACTGGTTGGTTTCCAGTCAATGAAGTAACAGAAATAAAGATGGATGGTTTGACATTTTCTCCTACTAAAATTGCTTCTTTTTATCATAAATAAATATTTGAACAAAATTAATAATATAATCGCCATTTAACGTTGATTGTCGAACTAATATTTTTCAGCCCAAGACTTCTTGTATTTTATAAGAAATTCGTCTAAATGAGGCTACCAGCGGTGAAAACAGATTTTAATATCAAAGTTAATATTAAGGAAGTTTCATTTGAACTTGTTTTAAAGCATAAAATAAAACGAAAAATGTTGTTTTTTTTTTGTGTGTGTAAGATGTAATTCTATTTAATCTCGTGAACTTTAAAAACAATATTCTCACTCGTGGCGACGCCACTCTAACAATTTTTTTTTAAAGCTCATTCAATGAAATAAAATTTCATCTTACATTCAAACAAACAAATATCCTCTATATCTTGAATATTATTGAAGAAAAAATGGGAGAAATAGTGGTCATTCTATTGCCATACGTATAAGTTTACCATCGTATTTTATTGGAAATGTCATTTTAACAATTGAAAGGATTGACAAAGAAAATTATCTAGGTTGGTTTAGAGTTGTGCAATAAGTTTCAGTAAGAGTGAAAATATACTTTTCATTTGTTTTTATATTTGAATCCACAGGCACTCGCAGCGCATATTTTTTATCCTTTAACCCCTTTTTATAATATTTTTCCTACATCAAAATGTATTTCCTATTGATATGCCTTGTCAAAATTAACTTGAAAAGGGAAAGATGGCCTTGCAGGTCGACGTCGTATAAATAAGGGGGAAAACGGATAAAAGGGCATACTTGGTGTTCTCTTTTAGAATATGTTCGAAATTCATATTTCGCCGTCTTTACAGATAGATTTAGGGAATTGTTTTAATCAAGAAAGAAGAACTCTATCTTTAAATTATATTGAAGAAAAAAATGGGGGAAATAATGGTCTTTCCCAGATTAAATGTGTACCATGGTCAGCGTAGTATTTCATGGTTTTTGATAAATGAACATGTTATTTCTTGGTCATCAGTGAAAAACCATCAAATACCATGGTCACATCATGATAATAACATGGTCATTCTGCATATGGGCCTTGCAGGTCGACCTCGTATAAATAAGGGAGAAAACGGATAAAAGGGCATACTTGGTGTTCTCTTTTAGAATATGTTCGAAATTCATATTTAGCCGTCTTAACAGATAGATTTAGGGAATTCTTTTAATCAAATAAGAAGAACTCTATCTTTAAATTATATTGAAGAAAACAAGAACGTGTTTGTTAAACACAAATGCCCCTGGCTCAGATTCTTGTGAGTAGCAATATTTCAAAAAATGTTTACCCATTCACTCAGTTATGGACAGACAAATTGCCAAAAAATTGTAAACACAAGTTATACAGCTTGACAAAGTCATGGCATTTTGTAATTGTGAAAAATATAAGTTGCCAAGTCATTGCTCTGATTTGTGAAGTTGAAAAATATTCAACTTCATGCAAGTTATCTCCCTACCAAATTTGAAATACATCTGTCATTAAATAAAGGCTGTATGGGCAAAAGTGTAAAAATCTATTTTGAGCACTGGTGACCTTAACCAAACTGACCCCTAACTCTATCCAAAAGAAGAATACATTGTAAGTTATCTTCCTATCAAATATGAAATACATCTGTCATTAAATAAAGGCTGTATGGGCAAAAGTGCTGACCCCTTACTCTATCCAAAGGAAGAATACCATGCAAGTTATCTTCCTACCAAATATGAAATACATCTGTCAATAAATAAAAGCTGTATGGGCAAAAGTGTAAAAATTTATTTTAGCACAAGTGACATTGACCCACTGATCCCTATCCCAATCAAAAGGATGAATACCATGCAAGTTATCTTCCTACCAAATATAAAATATATCTGCCACTTAATAAAGGCTGTATGAGCAAATGTGTAAAAATCTATTTTTAGCACTGGTGACCTTGACCCAACTGACCACTAACTCCATCAAAGTTTATGATTCTATCAATTATAAATAACATCTGTCTATAGAATAAGGTCAATACACCTGTAAAAATCTATTTTTAACATTGGTGACCTTGACATTGGTAACATTGACCTTGACCCAAATGACCCCTTACTACACCCAAAGAAGGAGGACCTCCCTTGACATGTTTGTATTAAACTAAGACATCAACTAAAATATAAAGGCTGTATAAGCAAAAATGTTTATATTTATTTTTTAAACCAGTGACCTTGACCCTAGAGACCGCTTACTCCACAAAAAATTAGAGGACCATCAAAGGTATCCACCTACTAAATATGAAAGATATCATTAAAGAAATTAAGCAATTAGAAGAAATTTAAGATAAATCCAACTTGCTGAAATAGGTTAACCATTTTCAAAGTGAAAAAAGGGAAATAACTGGGAAATATGGATGACACAGTTATATAACTTGGCAATATCATGTACTTTGTATTGATAAGTAAGTGTGGAAATTATAAAGCCATTAGTATAGATAGAACTTAAGATATTTCCAACTTGCCGTTTTAGGTTAACCATTATTCATTTTCTAAGTGCTGAAAAGGGCAATAACTTGGTAAATATGAAAGCCAGAGTTATGTAACTTGCCCAGATCATGTACTTTGTATTGATTAGTAAGTGTGATAACTTAGAAGCCATTAATACAGGTAGAACTTAAGAAAAATCCAACTTGCCGTTCTAGGTTAACCTAGTACGGACAGACGGACGGACGGTTCAATCACTTTATGCCCGGGGGCATAAAAATGGGGGAAATAATAGTCTTTGCCAGATGAAATGTGTACCATGGTCAGCGTAGTATTTCATGGTTTTTGATATCTGAACATGTTATTTCTTGGTCGTCAATGAAAAACCATCAAATGCCATGGTCTCATCATGATAATAACATGGTCATTCTGCATATGAGTAAGCAATCATGAAAAACTATGGATTACCATGTAACAAAATTACAGACCATGGTAAAAAGCAATATACTCACAGTGAATGACTATGAAGTATCATGGTGTACTATAAATATAATTTTTATGTCAGTAAATAACTATATAAATTGAATAAAAAATATGAAACACTTTTTTTTCTTCCCAAAAGGGATATGAGAGTTTGTTGGGTTTTTGTTTTTGTTTTTTTTACATAAATAATGTTAAAAGAAAGAAAAAAGAAAAAAATGTTGACCCTTCTGGGATTTGAACCCATGACCCTTAGTTTCATTGTATTCAACAGTAGTCCTAGCCTTATAATTTGAATACTAGTAGTCTTAAAAGCAGAGGTAAACCTTACCACAATGCAACAGTCAAACATGGCGTCCAAAACCATGTGTGATTGTGTCAACAGCATAATATATATGTTTTAAAGTGTTTAAACGATAGAATTAATCACTCAGGTTTGCTAACATGTTTCCCAACACCCAGTTTTAATATTTCACATTATGGAATAAACACTGATAAAGATGCAAACACAAGGAAAATATACATGTGGGAAAGGGCGGGAACATTTTAAAAAGATGAATTGCAAGCACTGTTGGTTTTATATGCAGGCTGGTTGGTTAATATTTATCAGACAAGAACGGATATTTAATGTATGGTACATTGCCAAAATGCTTCAAATGACCATGGAATTAGAATCAAGTGCCAAGTCTGGCGAAGTCTACAAACAAAAGTGATCACACAGGAACCAGCATATTAAACATTACACAAAGAATATGCAAGTTAATTAACTTTAAAAGAACATTAGATATGTTTGCCCATGTAAAAAATGCACACTCTCAAATTCAGTCAAGACATTCATAGTTTTATGTATACTATTATTATGTTAGTCTACATCATAAGTAATTTATGTAAGTTATCTTACACAGGGGCCGTGTAACATAACATGGTCAACCATGTCTAACCATGATCTACATGTGAGCCATGTTAGTTCATGTTATTTCATGATAAAACATGATACATTTCACCTGGGAATAAATTAATATGGTAGAACATGGAGTCAGTAGACATGATCTACCATGTTATTTAATGGTAGACCATGGTGTAAGCAACCATGGTTAGGTGACCATGAAAAGCTGTGGTGCCATTTTACAAAACATGGTCTACTATGGTAATTTATGGTTACAGGACCATGTAATACCATTGTAGTTCATGGTAGTTCATTGTGAAATGACCATGAATTTCACCGAAGAAATAAGTGGGAGTAATAGTGGTCTTTCTATTGCCATATGTAGATGTTTATCATAGCATTTTATTGGAAATGTCATTTTAACAATTGAAAGGATTGACAAAGAAAATTATCTGGGTTGATTTACAGTTTTGCAAAAAGTTCTGGTAATTTTTATGATAAAAGAAGTATTCTATCGTTAAATATCATTGAAGAAAAAGTGGGAGAAATGGTGGTCTTTCTATTTCCATACGTAGATGTTTACCATCGTAATGTATTGGAAATGTAATTTTACAATTGAAAGGGTTGATAAAGAAAATTATCTGGGTCGGTTTAGAGTTGTGCAATTAGTTTATGTGTGAGCTAAAATCTACTTTTCATTTGTTTTTATATTTGAATGCACAGGAACTCGCGGCGCATATTTTTGACCCTTTAACCCCTTTTTATAATATTTTTCCTACATCAAAATGTATTTTCTATTGATATGCCTTGTCATTATTAACTTGAAAAAGAGAAAGGTGGCCTTGCAGTTCGACGTCAATAAATCAGCGGGGGGGGGGGGGGGAACGGACAAAAGGGCATACTTGGTGTTCTCTTTTTTATTCTTTTTTTTTTTGGTTTTATGTCACATCGACACAGTATAGGTCATATCGTGACGTTCCAGCTTTACTGGTGGAGGAAGACCTCAGTTGCCCTTCTGTGCATTATTTCAGGCACGAACGGGCACCTGAGTAGAACCACCGACGTTCCGTAAGCTAACTGGATAGCTACCTCACATGAAAGAATCCAAAGTCCCTGTCGGGATTCGAACCCACAGCGGTGAGGGGCAAGTGGGGGTGTTCTCTTTTAGAATATGTTCGAAATTCATATTTAGTCGTCTTTACAGATAGATTTAGGGATTTTTTTATAAAAAAGAAGTATTATATCTTAATATAATATTGAAGAAAAAAGTGGGAGAAATAGTGGTCTTTCTATTGCCATACGTAGAAGTTTGCCATCATATTCTATCCAAATATCATTTTAACAATTGAAAGGATTGACGAAGAAAATTATGTAGGTTGGTTTAGAGTTGTGAAAATATTTGAGGTAACAGTTAAAATATACCTTTCCTTTGTTTTAATATTTGAATGCACAGGAACTCAAGAATGGGACCGCAAGTTGCGGCTCATATTTCTGGTCCTGTAACTGCTTTTTTAAAAGCTTTCATAGCGAAGAACATCAGAACCAATGAGTACTAGTCAGTGCCAGGAAAGCTCCTCCATATAAACATCACAATGATTCATGCCCTTAATGGACCAGCTCAATCATTGATAAAATCAAGCGTTATTATAACATAAGGATCTTCAATGTAAAAAAAATAATTGATTGGTGGTAGATATAACTTTAACATACTTAATATAAAAAAGAAAAAAAGAGGAGCTTTACAAATTTGAGCAAAGGCAAAGAAGGAGATGCTGGACATCAAAAGTCTTAATGCAGCAAAGATAATGATTAAAATGTCTCCTTTGAATTAAGGTGGGGAAAACAATCTCTGAAAAGGCGAAGGTACAGACAGATAAAAATGTCAAGAAAACCTCCAACTTGAGGTAGGGCCAAGTTAAAAGTAGGGTCCTCATTTGTATCAGCTTCAGTCAAAAAAGAACACCAAAAACAATGAGTACTAGGCAGTGCCAGGAAAGCTCCTCAATATAAACATCAAAGTGATTCATGCCCTTAATGGGCCATCTCAATCATTGATAAAATCAAGCGTTATTATAACATAAGGATCTTTAATGTAAGAAAAAAATTAATAATTGATTGGTGGTAGACATAACTTTAACATACTTAATATACAAAAGAAAAAAAGAGGAGCTTTACAAAAATGAGCAAAGGCAAAGAAGGAGATGCTGGACATCAAAAGTCTTAATGCAGCAATGATAATGATTAAAATGTCTCCTTTGAATTAAGGTGGGGAAAACAATCTCTGAAAAGGCAGAGTATAGACAGATAAAAATGTCAAGAAAACACTTGAGGTAGGGCCAAGTTAATAAAAAGTCCTCATTTGTATCAGCTTCAGCAAAAATAGAACACCAGAAACAATGAGTACTAGGCAGTGCCAGGAAAGCTCCTCAATATAAACATCAAAGTGATTCATGCCCTTAATGAACCAGTTCAATGACCGAGTATCAGAATCAGTCACAGGCAGAGTACAAACTGAAGTGACAAAACTACCACAGCTGAAGCGACAATACCATCTTCAGTACTACAAACCATAGCCACTTCATCATCTACAGTGTTCATAGGTACAACACCATCTGTTAGGCGTACAGTCATAGACATAACACCATATGCAGTGCGCAAAGCCTAAAAACAACACTTGCAATAGTACAATCGTTTGAGTCTGACCATGTGTTTTAATGTCTCATAATCATATTCCTTGTCAACGTTAACAGGTCTGTCAGAATCATAATGGATACATGTCAGGAAACCATGTCTACTATTAACAGCAGATCTTTTAGACCAATTATAATTGTAGTCAGATAAATGAAATATGCTCAGTGACAATAGTATTAACATTTAGAAAATAAATTTCAAGAATATATCTAACTATTTTAGTTCGATTGTGATCGAAGTTAAGAACTTTTTGAAACAATCTCGGATCTGTTCCTGGAACCAACCAGTACTTAGCAGTACGTGTCATATTTCTTGTTCACTGAAACAATGGTTTGCCCTTTAAGACAGGGTTTGAACCCACAAATTTTAATCCACATGGCCAGCAATCCTTTAATGTCTGACCCATTAATCATTTGTCCAAGTCTGCAGAGAAAAATTACAACAGACAGAAGAAGAGTCCTTACAATAGATTAAGTCCAAGAGAATCCACAGCAGGAAGTAGGGAAAGAATTATCCATAGTACATGTGCATGCTTAAAGAAACTTATGTAGGAATTACTTATACATGCATACATGGATATTACTATATATAGTACTCGTGTAAGATTTTAACATTAATGTCTGTCTTGTCTAAATGTGTAAATAAATACTCATATTTGATAATGTGTGATCATCTGTTTGACTATGTTTTGAGCTTGTTAAAAATTAAACTTACTTTATGCCACAAGGCTGCCAGCTTTATGCCTCCAGGTCATCAAACTTATACCAGCAGACAATACATTTCACTAGAACATCAATCACATAAATACATATTCTAATCCTTTCATGTAAATAAAACATTGTTCTAGAGAATCTCAAAAAAAGACTGCTTCATTTTGAAATCTTATTGTTCCTTTTCCCTTCAAATTTGAAAGAGTTGCATTCAAGTTCCCACAAATCTGTCTTTATCAGTTATTTTTCACACATCTATCATTTATCACATAAAAAGACCTTTTATCTCTGCTTTCAACTTTCTGACTATACCTCATAAAATATTCTTGTAATGCAGCTGAACTTGGACGAATGTGACATCCGGCAATATTGACATCATCCTGGACACTATCTTCTACATCATCCTCTGCCCCAACATCATCAAACTCATGTTGAAGTAACTCAAGAGACTCCATTGTATTTGATTCTATGAGTTGGTCCGCCTCTATTATATCTATCCTGCATTGTCTCTCTGACTCGCATTCTGAACTGTTCTTAAAATTCACACCATGCTGAGGACTTACATTTTGTCTGATATTATCTGAATTTGTAACTTTATTTGCTGAAGAAGGACTTCTGTCTTGCCTTGTAACATCTTTGTTGTAATAACTTTTGTCTTGTTTATTCTCCAAAGAATACATCCGCGCGTCACAAGTATCACTAAAGATATCATCCCTTTGCATTTTAATAAAATGCCCACTCGTTGAAGTTGTTTCATTCCTTTCATCCAAAGTATTGGTAACAGTTACTTCATTATCTATGTAAGAATGGTCACTTTTTTCATCAGTATCATCTGATGTAACAACTGAAAGCTCTGAAGAATCTATCATAGAACATTCTTCATTTGAAGATTTTTCAGTTTCAACAAGGTGGTTTTCTCTTTTCTTTACATTTTCACTTACACAATCTATATCTGAATTGTGTTTCAAGAATTTTCTTCTCTTAAAATGTATGTACCCTTTTTCTGTGATAGTAGTTTTATGGATATTATGTTTTTTAATCAGGTGAGACTCTAGCCGCCATTTATTACACAGTGTCCTTGCACAAATTGAACAATTCATTTTCTTGGTTTTTGCCAGTTCTTTGTTCACTTTAGTTTCCTCTTTATGTATCCTGTATGTATGCTGTCTCAGACACTTTTTATTAGAGAATTTCTCACTACAAAACAAGCAATTGTAAGACACATGTAATCTGTGATAATGTGCTTGTAGGGACCCTTCCTCCACAAAGTGTATGTCGCATATTTCACACCAATATTCCCCTTTAGCTGCATGTTTGCTCCTGTGACCTTTAAGCTCTCTTTGGTTGTAAAACCTTGAAAAATAAAGCACATACATCAGATTTCTACATTATCAAAGCAACATTTTGTACTCATAAAACAAAAAATTTCTACCAAAATAAGCATTGCAATTACATGTATGTTCAAACAAGAGGGCTATGGTGAGCCTGTTACTGTATTGCTCGACATTAGAAGAACATTGCATTGATTTGTTCAAGCATTAGCTACTTTTGAAATATTCTACTGACTGGAACAATTTTGACACCATAATCAAAGAGTGAACAGTTTTAATCAATGACCACAAAGAGATACTACATGCCAACAAGGCGGTCTGAAGGACAGTTAAATCCCCTTCTGTAATGGACATGAATGTGTACTTACTGACCTTTCACCAACCATGACCTTGATGTTGTGCCATGCATATCGTAAGCACATTGTCTCATGATGGTGAGTATTTGTGCGAAGGTTTTAAATATCCTCCATAAAGTGAAAAAGTTATGGAGAACATATAACCTTGACCTTGTGTGGGTAGCAACCGGGATGCTGTGCTCTGCTGATTGTGTCATAGTGGGGATCATTTGTGCCATGTAATTTTAAAATATTTGGATTGTGAATAAGTTATAGAGCTGACATGAAAAAAATATGTTTTAACCTTGAGGGTAATGACTTGGTAGTGGCTTAATTGTTGTGTTTTGCACATGGTAATCATTTCTGCCCAGTTATCTTAAAAACATGGCAGCAGTTTAAATGTTATGGATCGGACACAAAATGTTGACTTTTTAACACTTGACCATTAAGTGTGACCTTGACCTTGCGGGGTAGCAACCCAATTATTCCACTCTGCATATCATCTCATAATGGTGATCACCTGTGCCAAGTTTTTTTTTTTAATTCAGTGGTTTAAAAGTTGTGGAGTGGATACGAAAAGTTGACTTTTTAACACTTGACTGTTAAACGGACCTTGACCTTGGGGGTAGCAACCCAACTATTGCACTCTGCTTATTGTCGCATAATATTGATCATGTGTGCCAAGTTTTCTCAAAATGTTTTCAGTGGTTAAAAAGTTATGGAGTGGACATGAAATGTTGACTTTTTAACACTTGATCTTTAAATGTGATCTTGACCTAGAAGGTAGCAACCCAACTGTTGCACTCTGCACAGCGTCTCATACTGATGATCACTTGTGACAAGTTAAAAAAAATTCAGTGGTTTAAAAGTTATGGAGCAGACATGAAATGTTGACTTTTAACACTTGTTTTTTAAGTGTGACCTTGACATTGGTGGTAGCAACCCAATTATTGCACTCTGCAAATCGTCTCATAATGGTGATCACTTGTGCCAAGTTTTTTTTTAAAAAAGCGGTAAAGAAGTTATGGAGGGGACATGAAATGTTGACTTTTTAACACTTGACCTTTAATAGTGATCACATGTCCCAAGTTATTTAAAAAATCTTCAGCTCTTTAAATTAATGAGTTATGGCGTGAACATGAAAGTGTTAAGGACGGAAGAAACCTATTTCAATATCCCCCTTTTTTACAATTGTTTATTGTATCTGGCTGTCACATTGGACAAGCATTTTAGCAGACACAGCGTGCTATAAATATAAATGGAAAAAAAATATAATCAACAAAAATAGGATTTTTTGGGGAGCAAAGATCAGCGTTATACTGAGGTTAGCGTTGAAACAGAGTGTGTTATAATATGGTGGCAATGTACATTCATCAATGTACGTATGTACATTTTACTATATACATTTAAGGAAAACCCATTAAATCCTAAGTTGAGTCAACAGTGACACAAGAGATATCATTTGAACAATTTGGGATTGAGGAAAAGTAGATGTTGTTATAATATACCACATAAGGAAGCACTGGGCAGCCTGGGTGGCCTGGCTCTATACTGTTGTTAACGTTTCAGCAGGCTAGAGGTTTGTACTTTAATCAGAAAGTATGTCAAATCCTTTTAAAGAGTCACTGACTGAAAGCAATTTAATGAATCTTATATTAACTAAATGTCTGAGACCTTTTGTTTTCCCTCCAGGAGGCCAGAACTCTTGGTTCTATACAATCTACTAGTATACTGTAACAGACTGAAGTGATAAATGATTTTAGAGAAACAGTCAATGTATCTTTCGTACTATTATCACTTGTTTCTCTCTTTTGCTCTACTTTGAGATTAGTTTTTATCTCTCTTTTATCAAATGGTTTTACATTTCTAATGTATAGACTCTTGCAAACTGAAATGCTTTAAAAGAGCTAGAAAAATAGAAAATAAAGACCCAAAACCTTCTTCCTTTAACCCCTACTCAACCTTCTGTTTAAAACAGACGTCATATGTTTAGTTTCCATTTTTGAAACAGTTAATTTAATAGTAACTTTGTAGACAAGAGGTCCATGATGGCCCTAAAATCACTCACCCGAATACAAATATTATCCATGTCAGACAAGAAACAAATATTATTAATATTATAATCTACGAATGAAAGCAGATATAAAATCTAAATCTTTGATTGATATCACAAAGTTCATATTTGTATCTGAAATAGTGCGTTTGTAAAAACTTTACTGGTTGCTATTGCTGAGGGAAAACAACAGTTCCATAAAATGTCACCCTTTGCTATACAAAATATATGGTTTCCTTGGAAGTCAGTGCCTGCTATGTAATTCAATGATAGATTCACTTGTTACTATGTTAAAACAGTTAATGTTTTTACTATATACATTTTTGTACATATGAGTAAAATCAATGACCCCCTAGAACAGGATCAATTATGATGCCAGGGCTTTTATTTGAACAAATTTGATAGACACCACTAGAAGATGCTCCATGCCAAATAGCTAAGCTCTTGCTCTTTGGCTTTTTTAGAGGAAGATTTTTTTGGTTTATTCATCCAATATACATACAAGCCAAATCAATGACCCCCTGGGACTAGACCAATTTTGACCCTTGGGGTTTTATTTAAACAAACTGGTGGACACCCATTAGAAAATGTTTCATGCCAAATATCTAAGCTCTAGCTCTTTGGAGTTTTTTTTTAAGAAGATATAAGTTTTTTTCTTTCAGTTGCCAACGCAACCAGAGTTCTACACGGAGTCAAATTCTTTAAACAGTTTTTATAGGTGTCCCCAAAGGAACATTCCTGCGAAGTTTGGATGGAATTGGCGTAGCGGTTTATGAGGAGCTGTCATTTAAAGTAAGTTAACAGATGACAGACGAATGGATACCTAACAGATGGACGCTGGACAAAAAGTGATCACAGTTGCTCATCATGTCACTTTGTGACAGGTGAGCTAAAATTCAGACAAGAGGGCCATGATGGCCCTGAGTCGCTCACCAGAAACAACTGCCTTTCAGTGTTGGAAATTATCCATAGTCAATATTTTCTAATATTAAATTTGAACATAGAATATACAATAAAAGAAATGCCATGACCTGGCGCATTTAAGCTTTTGAATGTGGCCAATCAAATTAATATGAGCAAACTTGATAGAAGACTACCCAAGACTGCTACAAAGTTTTGTGATCATCTATCAATTATTTCAGTAGGAAATGATGTTCAAAGTTTTTTTTCTATTTTAAGCTTTAGTGGTCCCTAAAGGGGGCTAATGAAATTGATATGAGCAAACTTGATAAAAGAGTACCAAAGAATGCTACAGACAAAGTTTGGTGATCATCCATCAATTAGTTTTGTAGAAGATGTCTAAAGGTTTTTTTTATATACAGCCCTAGAGACCCCTAAAAGGGGCCAATCAAATTAATATAAGCAAACTTTATAAAAGACTACCTAAGAATGCTACAAACAAAGTTTGGTGATCATCCATCAATTAGTTCTGTAGAAATAGACATTTAAAGGTATTTCTAATTTTAGCTTTTTCGGCCCCTAAAAGGGACCAATCAAAATAATATGAGCAAACTTGATAAAAGACTACCCAAGAATGCTACAGACAAAGTTTGGTGACAATCCATCAATTAGTTCTGTAGAAATAGATGTTTAAAGGTATTTCTATTTTAAGCTTTAGCTGCCCCTAAAAGGGGCCAATAAAATTAATATGAGCAAGCTTGATAGAAGACTACCCAAGAATGCTACAGACAAAGTTTGGTGATCATCCAATTATTAGTTTCGTAGAAATAGACATCTAAAGGTTTTTCTATTTTTAGCTTTAGCCACCCCTAAAAGGGGCAAATCAAATTAATATTATTCATAACAAGAGGGCCATGATGGCCCTGAGGTCGCTCACCTGTATATAGGCCCCCCAACCCCCAACGTTGCAGGGCCAATTTAACCCAAGGGCTTTTATTTGCACAAACTTGATAGACACCCATAAGAAGATGTTTCATGCTAAACATCTAAGCTCTAGCTCATTGGGCTTTTTAAAAGAAGATTTTTTAAAGTTTTTACTATACACATATAGTTAAAATCAATGACCCCCGGGCGGGGCCAATTTTGACCCCAGGGCTTTTATTGAACAAACTTTGTAGACACTCACTAAAAGATGTTTCATGCTTAATATCTTAACTCAAGCTATTTGGGTTTTTTCAAAGAAGATTTTAAGTTTTTGCTATACACATATAAAGAAAATCAATGACCCCCGGGGCGGGGCCAATTTTGACCCCAGGTCTTTTATTTGAACAAACTTTGTAGACACTCACTAAAAGATGTTTCATGCTTAATATCTTAACTCAAGCTATTTGGGTTTTTTCAAAGAAGAATTTTTAAGTTTTTGCTATACACATATAAGGAAAATCAATGACCCCCGGGGCGGTGCCAATTTTGACCCCAGGGCTTTTATTTGAACAAACTTGGTAGACACCTATTAGAACATGTTTGATGCTAAATATCTTAGCCATAGCTCTTTGAGTTCTTTAAAAGAAGATTTTTTAAGTTTTTACTATATGCATATAGGGAAAATCAATGACCCCCCGGGCAGTTATTTGAACAAACTTGGTAGACACTCACTAGGAGATGTTTCATGCTAAATATCTTAGCTCTAACTCTTTTGGTTCTTTAAAAGAAGATTTTTTAAGTTTTTACTAT